AATTACTTGCTGTGTTTTGTCTATCTCCGGACAAGGAACAGTCTATAAAATTCTCATTCATAACATTAGTTATTTCCTGAAATATTAAATGATATCACTACACTGTGGTCCATGGGTACGTGGCCTTTGTGTTGCATTCAGATCTGACTTTCTTCACAATGGAGGCTAAAGCAAAGTCTCTAAGCTCTGTAAAGAAGGCAATGGAGTGAGCCCTATACATTTCAGTTCAGAAAGTATTAAAGATGCAAGACTGCTTTCAGAAGACAGAAGGCACCATTCAAGGGCTGGTTGCTAATTTTTAAATGGTGGAACAAATGACTTTAGTGGACCTGTGCCAATTTATACCATCTGAAACTTTGCTGTGAATATTAATTAGACTGACAAAACTAACACACCCAGGGGCCTCTTAGCTCCTTTAACTTGTTCTCATGGAGTCAGTTTTTGGGTGAGGCACAGATGATTCTTGTAGAAAGGCAATTAATTCCTGCCTGAATTGTGATTTTCCTAGGAATCACTTCGAAGGGTATGGAAGTATTTATAAGTTTAAAGACTATAACTTATAGGTTAAGAAGAACCTGAGGAATGATTTCTCAGGATCAAGAGAAATCATTTTTGAAGCCTGGTGTTACCTTGCTTCTAATAAAGTAACTGTGTTTGAAAGACTCCTGAGAATATTAGTCTCTCTTTAGTACAAGGATATTTATGATTACAAACAGCACAGTCTGCCTGTTTAGAGAGTGTTGCTCTATATAAGTAATAATCATGCTCATATTCCTGATTGTCTCAGCCCAGTGCAGGAATCACGGTCTGAAATACACTTAATTTGTCCTTAGTAACATCCAACACACAGCCCAATTTGAATGCCTAGATGGAGCTGTAAGATTTTCAGATTTGCTATGCAGTCTGAAAAAGATATTCCAAAGGAGAGAGAAACAGTAATTCGTAGAGCTGTGTGAACAATTTGGAAAGGAGCTTTGGAAAAACGAGCAAAATGTCTCTCCAAACCAGCTGCTTGAAGCACTGAAATGCTGTGTTCTCTTGAAGGTTTCACACGGCAACATAAAGGGCCTCCTTTCATCATCTGAGTAAGAGTCTTCACTATATTTTAGCCAAAGTAGCAGGAGATTTGATAAACAAGAAACAGTAAACAGGCCCAGAAATAAAAGGAAGTCTTAGTTTTGGAGTCCTTGGGGTTCTCTGAGCTTGGTTGTTTTCTTGCAAACGTTTTGGCTAGGTAACATCTTCAGTGCCTGGGTAACATCTTTAGTCTTAGTTTTAGCATGGAGTAGGTTAAGAAAATTCCAAAATCAATGTTTGTAAACAATGCTTATGATGAAGCCCTAGTTCAGGGCCAGTAAATTAAGACTTTATGCTTTCTGGAGCCTTGTGGATATGTGGATTATCTGAATAAACATAGCCAGCAGTCCTGATTATTTGATTAATTTAGGAATGATGCCATTTGCTTGTTTGTTTTTGCATCACGATATAACATACATTGAAATTCATATTTGGTACAGTACCGACGAAATGCTTTAGGACTGATTTTACTTCATCTCAACAACACTTAACTGTATGCGCGAATCCTGTCATCTTTGTCTGAACTGCAGGGATTGGCTGTGTTCGTAGGATGTGGTGCTACTTCCTAGTAAAACAAGCCTCTCTGAACTCAGCTCAGTCCTCCAGTTCCTCCCTTCTCCAGCTGCGAGGAGATTCAGAAGTACTCCTTCTTCTGATACTTAATACAAAGTGCTTCAAATCAAATTGCGTTAACCATCAAATCATAAACTCAAACCATGCCCTTTTTGAAGTTTGAACTGAATCATGACTGATTTGTACAAGCCTAATGCCTGCATTGTTTCTGGCTAAACTCTTCATCTGAGACTGCAGGGGCCCAGTAAATCTCAAGAAGGAACACCACATTAAAAAAAAATTCCTTTAAATGTTCCCTTTAGTATATCTTGGGGGTCTTCCCTTTACCCATATTTATTTTTTGGGGGGAGTGAATCTTTTAAAGATATAGTCAGAAAATGAATGTGTGTGTTGTCTGATTGGACCATTGCTGGCTGCTTTCTCCAAAATCCTCTCAATACAAGAGTCTAACAGGCATATTAACTCCATAGGCAACCTCTCTATAGAACAACACGATGAGGTGGCCAAGGAACTCTATTTCTCTTTGGGATTCATCTTGAAATCCATTAAATTCTGCTCTCTGTCTCTATGTATTAAACTGGAAAAATGTTGAAGACATGTTGAGCAATGTGTACCTTGAACATTAGTAGAATAGGGGCAATGCTGGTGCCTATTCCATCTGCAGTCATAAGTTGCCTTCAACATTTTGCATTGAATTCTAGGCACCAGAAGAACCAACAAATTATTCAGACAGCTTTAGGGTCCATTAATCCTCATTCCTCCTTTCTTAGGACATACACTCAATTTCTTTTTCTGTATATTATTTATACTTGATTATCAGGCACAATTCATTGTCCCTGGAATGAAAGGCTTCAAGAATATTGAGCATTTTTTAAAATGAGAGCTTGGCCTGGAGTCACAAGAAGAAACATAGGGAATATCTAGGTGGGATTTGACTCTGGATCTCTCATTCCTAGTTCTATCCTATGGTGAATCTCAACCAATATGTGATGGGCCCTGCTCAGATTGATGGGGGCTTTCAAGGTGCACATTGGGGAGCTTTCAAGATATAGTACTGTTGAATTCCTGCCCCCAGCAGTTCTAGCCTATTTGATGTAGATCAGCAACATCCGCAGGGCCATACATGTCCCACCTCTCATATGCATGAGATAAATGCCCTCTTTGAAATTATGTAATATGTTCCTGTATATGATGAGACCGATCCAACTGAATATCCAACATGTATTATGGGCTGCCTTGGGCCTAACAACTCATCTCCTTTCATTTTTTTTGTAGGCCAAAGCTAGACAGATACCTTAAAGTAGAGTCTATCATGCTGCAGTAGAAATGAAAGTTAAATATTTAGAAATGAAAATAAAGTGAGATCATATGGCATGCATGAAGCACAGTGTGAAATTGTGTCCTAACAACTACATATTTTCCTTCATGTCTGGCTATGGCAGATGCATTATCAAGTAAATAGCTGGCAGACAGCACAACTGGTGAAATGAATGGACTTATGTACCAGCTTTAATACTAAATTCTCTGTTATATGCTTATTATTTCATTGGAAAATGCTTAAATTTTCATTGCGCAGAGCTGTCCTTCTTGTGTGGGAAGAACTGCAGTGAGAACTGTTTACTTTTTAATAATACAGTCATTTAACTTAACTTAAAGAGCAAACCTTCACATTATTATGGCATGAATCTGCTGCTGAAAACAGTTGGGCTATGCAAAGTTTTGAAAGGGTGCCTTGCTTTGATGAAACTTTAATGAAGTCATTCTATTGAAACAGATTTGCAAATCAAAATGGTGACACAGTTCAATGCAACAAATTAAATTATATCAAAGTTACAATTTCAGTTCCATATATGGAGAATGCAGAATGCAGTGGGGGTTAAACAACATGACGTGATGTTGCTGATGTTCACATGAGAGACCAGCCAGTCAGCTTAAAGCCTCATTAAACTCTCTGCCTATAACAGCACTTTTGGGATAGCAAGGCCAACATTGCTTTAGATTTTGTTCATTTTCTAAGCTCTTCATTTCCTGAAGTGGCCATCCCAAGCCTTAATGTTTGTCTCTTTTGACAGTGATGTGCTCTTCTTAGCCAACAAAGGTGGGAGTTTAACTCAGCTCTCAGTACTGACCAATCCAGTACTGACTATTGGGTCAAAACTGTTTTTTAAATCTCCATGATCTGAGAATAACACTTAAAGTTTAAGTCTTCCAGCTAACTCTTATTGGCACCAACCCAGATGCTTACTGTATGGGATGTTGAAGCCACAAAGGCCACTTCCTTTGTGCTTTCTTCCACGTTTTTTCTATCTCAGTGGTAGGATATCTCACCACGATAACCTTCTGCTGCATCTGCTAAATAACTGCCAGAAAGCCATAAACCTGACATAACTGAGGTTTGCCTAGAAGACAGACCTACTCTGCTTTGCCCAGCTGGGAATGAAAGGGTCTCTGGGGGAAATCCCCAGAAGTAGAAACAGACGTAGAACCTGAAAAGATGGGGAAAATTCTAAAAACCTAAGGAGGGGAAATGGCCTTTGAAAGAATCTGCAGCAGCCACCAAGATTTTTAAAAGTTTCTTCCTTTTAATTAGCAAACAATTCCCCTTTTACTTGTAGCATTTTCAAGGCAGTGTTCCCCCCCGCCCCCCGCCGCCCCTGAAGCACAGTTGCAGGGAAAAAAAAAGATGACAGCTCCATTCAGTGCCTCTGAAACGCTGAACCCTGCGTTTGCATTATCAGGAAGACAGCATGGAGTACCGCAGTAATGCATTTGCTTTGCATGCAGGAAGTCCTAGGTTCACATCCCCACATTTCCAGGAGAGGCTGCAAACAGATCTGTCTAAAACCTTAGAAAGCTGTTGCTAATCAATAGCAACAGCCCAGGACTAGAGCAGCTTCCTACATTTTAAAGATAGAGAGAAAAGTAAGTCTGCAATTATTATTATTTATTTATTTTTTTGGTTACTTAAGGACAAAATGAAAAAGCAGCAGCTGCTGCCGCAAACCTATACACTAATTTTTGTTTCAAATTTTTCTCCCCACTTTACCGTTTTCCCCCCCACCATCTCCTTATTTTGTAGGGAAAAAGATGTCTTCACTAAACATTGTGTCTTAACTGCAGAGGAAAGCAGGAGACTGTTTTCAGTGATACAGCCCTTTGTTTTAATGACGACCCCTCTCATTTTGAGAGCAGTCAGAACCATGGAAAAGAATTGAGTTACGTCTTGAAAATCACACTTACAGTTTCTTGATCCTATAGGATTTCTAGGAATGAATAATGTAAATTTACATCATTACAGGTATTTTTGTTCCCACAACTTGTGCTTAAATCCTTCCCCTTTTTAATTCTAGTTCTGCTTCACTTCAACTGTTTCATCAAGCTTCTGCAAAGTTGTTCTGAAAAACAGAAATAAAAGCACCTCATCGGATTGTGGCTTTCTTATCCTTTCCTAATAAGAATTGGCAGCTGAATGTATTCTGCTATGGAGGCTTCACCAACAGAGCAATGAGAACCATAAATTATTCCTCACTCTTCCTGTCCTCAAGTAAAATATTAGGGGCTATCTATAACATCAAATGATCCAACATTCACTTGTGCATGGGATTTTTCTTTACTCTCCTCTATGCTCTTCACTCCCATAGATGTGTTCCACATCTGCTTCAAAGTGCTGTCCAAACTTCTAGATTCAAAGTAGGGGAGAATATGCAGACAGTCACAAGAGAGAAGAGGAATCCAATCTACCTCTGGTGTCCATTCCACTGTGGGACACCATACAAACTGCTGAATCACATGAATTTTGTTATCCAGGTTTCATCCAGTTCAGGTGCCATAGAAACTGGAACCTAAAATAAGAATAATTGGTCAGAACATGGCCTGTGTATTTTCCTTCTATCCCCACAAGTAAGAGATAAATACTGTGCATATAAAAAAATGAAATCTGAACATGCAGAAAAAGGTCTGTAATATCTAATAAAGTCCAGATCCTCATTCTTGTGATCTCCCTTGTTTCATGGCTACAGCTGGAAGACCACGTCATCATATCAAACAATGTTTTTAATTTATTTGAACCTTTACCTCTTGATGAGATGTGCACATTTGGAAGGATGATTCCATTTTAGGAATCTTTCTAAAATATTATTCTAACCTCAATTAACCTTCCCTCCCCACTAATCTGTACGTGCTATGTCATATTTGGAACAAGATTTCATACATCCTTGTAGAATTTCACATCTGGAATATAGCGTAACATCCAACCTTACTAATGATGGCTAGACCACTAATTCAGCTAGTCAGATGTCATCAAATCAGACTCAACTCTTGGTAGTTGCATAGGGAAATCATTGCCATCCTAAACCCAATACTTTAAAAAAGTGATTACATGTTATCCAACTTGCAACCTGCCACCAGAAAGCCCAACCCTCACTGCTAGAGCTGTATGGAGGCAAGAAACACATTAAGAAAAGTACATGCTCTCCATATAGATATGCATATTTATAACAGAAGTCAAGGCAAGGAGAAGGAAGCAATCAACAAAGAAAACAAGTCTTATCTGGACAATATTCTTTCCTATCTCAAATATTGCATCAGCAAGAAAGGGAGAAACCATCCACTGAAGAGCGGCAGGTTAGCACTCTATTAATTTGCAATCAATAAACCCCTCTGGTAACATGCACTTCCATTTAGATTTTCGTCTCCTGTTTCCATTTATGGTTACCTGTCAGATTACTTAGAAGAAGATACAATTAATTTAGAGTTTTCCTATATGTGATGTGGCACCGCTCCTTTCCTTCTCCTTTATTCATTATAGCTTTATGTTAATACTATATGTTGTCTCTAAGCCCTGAGTAAAGTGATTCAGATACTAAAGAATGAGACATATTATCTGCCCAACCTATGACTGTGAGGAACAGTAATTACTCTGAATAGTAGATGATTAGCAAAATGCAATATATTCTGCCTACCTCCTTGTTTTGCCAAGGAATCATATGGAAGCAGGAACATAGTACTTTGGCTATGTATATAAGATGGGTCCCTGTTAAATTAACTTTGAAATGTCTATCTGTAATGTCTATCTATCACTTATTATTAGTATAGTTGTTAAAAGTGTTAGAATAGGATCATAGAGACCAGGCTCAAGCCCATCCTTAGTACGGAAATTCACTGGGTGACTTTTGGCCAGTCACCTTCTCCATAGGATTGTTGATGTATGGAAACTTCACAGCAGGAATATTATAGATGCTGCCTTGAGTGCCTAGAGGAAAGGCAGAATATAAATTTAATCATATATATGAATAAATATGGAGTCAAACATGCCATTTGTATAATTATAAAATGGGCTGAGCAACCTGAGGCCCCAGATCTACATATAGCCCATGAATCCCACTTTTTGTGGTCCTCAAATTCCCTCTAACTGCAGTTTCAAAGCAGGATACATACAAAAATTGTACCATAAACCATAAAACAAGTTTAAAATGGCTCTAAAAAAAGAGAAAACCTCATGCATTCAACTCTCTCTCACACACACATGCACACAAATCCAGAATCTCTCTGAAAATCCTGATGCTGCCCATGTTCATGACATCATCACTCCATCTACGATGGCCCTCAACTCCACCCCACATAGTAAGGATGGACCCAAACACCCAAAGAGTGTATATCCTTGTTGGGAAGCACAGCAAATTTGAAATGATAGCATAAGTGCTAATAAATCAATCTGTCTGAAAACTCTGGCATGCCTCTTTATATGTAAAATGTGGATTGAGGTTAGGATACACCTTTTGTTGCACTTTTATGACACTGGGTATACAAAAGAAGAAGAAAAGCAAGTGATCGTCTTGGGCCTAGAAAGTTTTTGGCTGGGGAATTCTGGGAGTTGGAGTCCACACATCTTAAAGTAGCTCAGGTTGAGAAATACTGCTGTAGATAATTCAATTTTGAAGATAAAACAGAGACTGTTATTCTGAAGATAGCAAGAGAAACACTTTATTCCTTCATAGTAGATGATGTGTGGCAGAGTTAACCATAAAATTCTGGTCAGCCCATTTCTATTCATGGCCCCGGGTAAGTAATCCCCATTTTTATCACTAAGGCTTCTTCTATAGAAAGACGTCTCCTGTGATTAAAAGAGTTCTGTCTAACGGTGCTGCTCAAATAGCCTTCCTTGAATTCCTTGGCATAGCTAGCAGAATGCAGATACTTGCATTAAGAGTTTGCCTATGTGCTTTTGTTTTGCAGTAAATATATTCAAGGTCTTTTTTCCTATATAAAAAACCCTTACAACCTACAGAACTGTGTTCATAAATGTATGGGTTTTTAAAACATTTTCTGCATATTATTTTCTTTCAGTCGCTAGCTGCTATTTTAACCTTGACTATAAGCTGGACACTTGTTTTTCTGAGGTTTATAAATACGCAGGATTTCCATAGCACAGAAATGCCATCTGCATGAACAATTCAATAACTTGATATAATTTTGCATTTGATTTTTTTGAACAAATATAAATGGGGTACTTAGCACCCAGTCCTGGAAAGGAGATATTTTGTTTGCAACATAACAACAACAATATCAAAACTATTTAGGCTTTCCTTTTCCTTTGATTATTAAATATTCATTTCACTCGGTGGTTATAACATAGAATTTCTACTGGAACCTTTCCTCCTGTGTCTTGCACGCATCAATCAAGAACTTGCACTCACCGATCTATTTCAGAAGATTTGTTGCCAAATTTGAACATCTTCCCATTCAGTCCTGTTTGGTTCAGTCAGGCTTTTTACCTCCCCGCATGTGCAAATGTTACTCTAGAACAGAGGTTCTCAACCTTGTTTTGCTCATGGCCCTCTTCTGAGCCTCACTGACCTCTGCGACTCCTCTCATAGTTGCTGTTAGCTGGGGGGAAAAAAGCTTCTTTACCATCTGCACTGTTTCTTAATCTAAACTGTATCACATAAAGATTGTGGCCTCCTAGAAATGGCCCCCTGGGGGGCCATATGGCCTGTGTCGAAAACCACTGCTCTAGAATATTTTTGGCAGACAAATGAGCAGTAATGTGGAACAGAAACATTAGAGGGTTTCCTACATATATTTCACTGGATAAGTTTTCTGTATAGGCTCTTTGACAAAAATCACACCCCCAAATAGATTCTTAACATTTTTCCCATCCAGGACATGAATAAGCCGTCTCCACTGGGTAAGAGGAACATATGAACCAAAGTCGCCTTCAAGAATCTACATAGTCAGCATAATGTGATTACAACTAATTACAAAGCTCAGATGGAATTAGTTTACTGCCAGAATGATGAGGTAAATCATCAATTTGGCCATTAAAATATATGTTTAAAATATTTTTAATCTCACCCATATAATTCTCACTCATGCAATTATCTGGAGGTTTCACACACACACACTTGTCTGTATGTGAGAGAGACACATTTCGCACTGCTTAACTATAAGATCAGTTCAATATATTGCTGAGCCGTACACATTATGAGAAAACCCCAAAAGGTTAAGCACATGTTTAGCATCATATGAAACATCATAGGCCAATATGCAGAGAGGTGCCCTCCTTTGCTCGATGGAGAACTCAGATAAAGAAAAGCTTAAGTGTATTGTGCTCTAATCAATTTCTTTAGCAGCTCCCAGTTTCAGAAGGGGACCCTAGGGGCTGATACATCTGATGTACCCGAGGGTCCTAATTAATTTATGGCCAGACTGGTGGTACCAGATGGGAAGTCATTGTGATTCAGAATTTCAGGAAGAAAAGAAAGGTGTATCGTTCTGTCCCAATACATATGACATAAGCAGAAGCTTGCTTTTTAAACAGATTCTTTTGGATGCATACATGCTCACCAAATGAGGTTTTCCCTTGGCTTAAGTTCTCCTCATCGGAGAATTATATCGATGCTAATCTGTTGATTTCAAGAAAGGCTGGAGAGACTGCTGGAATATCGGGATACAGTCACTTTATGAGACTATAATTATGTTCTTTTAAAATAGCTTTTATATACATTCCACATGGAACATTGGGTTTTTTTGTTTGTTTGTTTCAGATGACTCCATGAGACTGAACACTGGGTTTCCAAGTACAAAATACATATGATTTTTCTTTGTATTCTGTGCCTGGAGCAAGGGTGTTATTTAGTTGGGGAGGGAGGAAGAACAGGCAATCATTTCTATTTAACTGAGACAAAGGTTAACGTTGCCCCTTCTCAGTGAAGTCTAAAACAGTATCTCTGGCCTAAAGGTCCCATTTGACGTCTACATCCAATGAATTCTTGCTAAATATTTAACATTATAGATTCTGAGAAGGTATCTCTCATTCATGCAATAGCATCTATTCTTGAGTTAAGCTCCTGAAAGATCCAGATGATTGAGGAATATTAACAGAACTTTTTTCTGATATTTTGTGGCATGTTATGGGTCTTCCAGCTTCTTATAGATCTTCCAGTCCTGATATTGGTGGGACTTGTAATTGCAAACAAGTTTCAACATTTTGATATGCCTCTGTCCCATTGTATCAGTGGATGAAAACTGCCTGTTCAAGGAAGTAAAAAACAAAAGAGAAAAAAAAGAACAGGCACTGAAAATGAAGGCTATACTTATTAGGAGTGATTTTGTTGCAACTATTGTCTCACACAAACTAGAACTATCACAGAATTTCCTCATTTTTGTGGCCACTTTCTTTGGGACTGTTTATCAGGAATTTTGGTTGTATCAAGCACGTGAGGTAGTGAAAAGAATTATACTGAGAAATAATCTGATATTGTTCCAGCTGTCAAAGAATGGTTGTTGGAAATGTGCGATCTGTCTCTTTTGGAAAAGGCAATATTCTGTACTAATCAAAGGAAGCAGCAATATGTGTTACTATGGCAGAGATTTTGCGATATTTTACAATAATATTTGTACTGATTACTTTAATGTAGTATATTTATTAGTAAACCAGTGTCTGTTGATGCGTATAAAATATAAGATAGATTTTTTCTCTTTTTTCTTTTCTTTATTAGTTTGTATTTTTAATTTGTTTG